AGCTGACCACGCAGGGTTCACTGGTGCCTGGAAGACCCCTTTCCACAGGATGTGAAGGCACCCTCTCTTCTCAGGATCCTCAGGGCCATACGCATTCCTGGGGGACAGTACCGGATCAGTACACAGAAGGGGAAACGGCAACCAAGACATAAAGTCGCTGTCCTTGGGCGGAGGCAACCCGCTCACCACGGGTGCTGCATAAAAGGTCCCTGGAGGTTTTAGAGATTTCAGATCTCTGTTTGGTCTTGTGGACATGCTAAAACCACAGGGTCTAGTCGCCTCTCTGCCACAGACCAGCCAGGTGCCCTTAGGCAAGCAGCCTCCTGATTCCTCTAGACCTCAGTCTGCTCATCTATAAAATGGAGATAACAGTACTGCTCTGGCAACTTCACAGAGATGTCATCAGGATTAACCAGGCAACAGAATGGGAAAGACTAGCGATCTCTCCAAGAAAACTAGAGATACCAAGGGAATACTTCATGCAAAGATGAGCACAATAAAGGACAGAAATGGTACAGCTCTAACAGAAGCAGAAGATATTAGGAAGCGGTGGCAAGAATACATAGAAGAGCTATAAAAAAAGATCTTCATGACCCAGATAACCACGATGGTGTGATCACTCACCTAGAGCCAGACATCCTGGAATGTGAAGTCAAGTGGGCCTTAGGATGCATCACTACAAACAAAGCTAGTGGAGGTGATGGAATTCCAGTTGAGCTCTTTCAAGTCCTAAAAGATGATGCTGAGAAAGTGCTGCACTCAATATGCCAGCAAATTTGAAAAACTCAGCAGTAGCCACAGGACTGGAAAAGGTCAATTTTCATTCCAATCCCAAAGAAAGGCAATGCCAAAGATAAACTACTGCACAACTGCATTCATTTTGCATGCTAGTAAAGTAATGCTCAAAATTCTCCAAGCCAGGCTTCAACAGTACATGAACCGAGAACTCCCAGGTGTTCAAGCTGAGTTTAGAAAAGGCAGAGGAACCAGAGATCAAATTGCCAACATCCACTGGATCATAGAAAAAGCAAGAGAATTCCAGAAAAATATCTACTTCTGCTTCATTGACTATGCTAAAACCTCTGACTATGTGGATCACAACAAACTGAAAAATTCCTAAAGAGATGAGAATACCAGACCACCTTACCTGTCTCCTGCAAAACCTGTATGCAAGTCAAGAAGCAACAGTTGGAACCAGACATGGAACAACAGACTAGTTCCAAATTGAGAAAGGGAGTACATCAAGGCTGTATATTGTCACCCTGCTTATTTAACTTATACACAGAGTACATCATGAGAAATACCAGGATTGATGAAGTACAAGCTGGAATCAAGATTGCTGGGAGAAATATCAATGACTGCAGATATGAAGATGACACCACCCTTATGACAGAAAGCGAAGAGGAACGTAAGAGCCTCTTGATGAAAGTGAAAGAGGAGAGTGAAAAAGCTGGCTTAAAACTCAACATTCAGAAAACTAAGATCATAGCATCTGGTCCCATCACTTCAATGGAAACAGTGACAGACTTTATTTTCTGGGGCTCCAAAATCACTGCAGATGGTGACTGCAGCCATGAAATTAAAAGATGCTTGCTCCTTGGGAGGAAAGCTATGATAAACCTAGACAGCATATTAAAAAGCAGAGACATTACTTTGCTGACAAAGGTCTGTACAACCAAAGCTATGGTTTTTCCAGTAGTCATGTGTGGATGTGAGAGTTGGACCATAAAGAAGGCTGAGTGTCAAAGAATTGATGCTTTTGAACTGTGGTGTTGCAAAAGATTCTTGAGAGTCCCTTGCATTGCAAGGAGATCCAACCAGTCCATCCTAAAGGAAATCAGTCCTGAGTGTTCATTGGAAGGACTGATGTTGAAGCTGAAGCTCCAATACTTGGGCCCCCTGATGTGAAGAGCTGACTCATTAGAAGAGACCCTGATGCTGCGAAAGATTGAGGGCAGGAGGAGGTGGGGATGACAGAGGGATGGTTGGATGGCATCACTGACTCAATGGGCCTGAGTCTGACCAAGGTCCAGGAGATGGTGAAGGACAGGGAAGCCTGGTGTGCTGCAGTCCATGGGTCACAAAGAGTTGGACGTGGCTGAGCGACTGAACAACACAGGTGACAGAGCTTTGGAAAGATGAACCTCTTAAATAAGGATGTAAAACAGTCACAGGAATAACCATTTTCCCCATTTCCATCCTGCATCTAGGGAACCATCCCCCAGTGAGCTCACCCAAGAGTCTGCAGTCATGTCTTCCACCAGCAACAAAGAACAGAACCACGTGTGCCTCCTGGATATCTTGGGGGCAGTGTGAAGACCAAACATGAGCCTTGTGGAAAAAACTCCCCAGCTGATGCCCTCCCGTCCCCCCAGCCCCCTGCATTCCCACTCAGCAAACAGCAACAAACTTTGCCAGCCTCCAAAACTGCCTGCTGTGTACCCACTCCATCCGCTCAGGCAGCCTCAGGACTACAATGCCCACATTCTCTCTCCTCGTGAAACGGCTCCAGGACCAGAGATCCTGTTTTAGGATTGTTCTAAGGTGACTTTTAAAAGGTATCTACTGACTCAGCAGCAAGAGGTGGACCTGGTGGCTGCTGCAAATAAAATACTTGCTCACTGGGAATTCCCTAGCAGTCCAGTGGTTAGGGCATAGCACTTTCACTGCTGGGGCCCAGGTTCAAGCCTCGGTGGGGGAACTAAGATACTGTAAGCTATGCTGCACCACCAAAAATAACGCAAAACAAACAAAAAACCTTGCTCATGAAGACTGAAAAATGTGGTTCCTGCTGCTAGGTCCCTCTGGGTCTCCCTTCCTTCTGCAAAGCCACGTTTTCCTTTCAGCCAACACATCCAAATCTCATTTTTGGCACAGACTTCTCTGCAGTTGAAACTAAGCTTGCAGATGGTTCAGGGCCATCATTTTTAAATACTCTATATGCTGACAACCCCTAAACGTCTGTCTCCAGCCTGGGTCTCTTCCCAAGACTGCAGACTCCAACATCTGACTGCTTATTTGGCATTTTCACATGGCTGTTCAACAATCATATGAAACGGAACATGTCCAAAGACTGGCTCTGATTTCTGCCCCCACAGCCCCTCCACATATCTGGTCCAACTCAGCTAATGGCAATTTCTTCTTCCCAGCAGCCAGGCCAAAACCTGTGAGCCCTCTCTGTCTGCTCCCTTTCTGCCCTGCCCCACATCCTTCAGGAACCTTGTTGTTCGACCTCTGAGAGGAGTCCAGAATCCAGCCCTCCCCGGACTCTCACCCTGCAGCAATCACTGCCATCTCACCTCTGGGGCCTTCCAACAGCTTCCTAGCCTCCCTGCTCACAGCCTGGCCTCCACACAGCACCCAGAGCCATCTCCTTGAAGGGTGTCCCTCATCTGTCCAAAACCTAACAGCTTCCCATCTCACTTGGCAAAGAAGTCAAAAGCCATTTTCCTGACCCACTAAGTGATCTGTAGCCCTCCCTGCCTGTCTTTTAAAAACTAACACAAACCAGACTGTCTCAACCAGTTCTGTCCTTTCTCCCCCAGAAGAGCTGCCCCTCCACTTCTACCATCTCCGCAGTCTACTAAAACCAGTTTCTTGCCACAGCTATCAGTGACCCTCACTGCTTGATACCATCTACGTACGTGTGCAAATCCAGATCTGACATTTCACTCTCACCGCATTTCACTTTGTTGAAAACCTCCTCCCTCTTAAAACTCCTCTGTCATGCTTCGACATCGTCCCTCCCCAGGTTCACTCCTACAGACCTGCTGCTGTCCCTTACACGTCAGCTCTGTCCTCGGCCTCCATCGTACTCAACTTCAAAGTCTCATCCACACCCAGCTCAGTTCCATCTTCTTGCCTAGTACCATTGATGAGAACTGCCAAAGGTCCTCTGAGTCTGTCTCTGCCTTCCCATGCTCACTGACGCAGTCTAGACTGCAGCGACAGCTCTGATGCTTTCTTGAGTGCACTCCTGCCCCCTTCCTAATCTGCTGTCTACACTAAGACCCAGCGGGGCCTCCTCCGGCCACTTTCCTGCCTGACACTCTCTGACAACATCACACTCCCCCAGGCTCCACATGGCAAGACCTTGTGTGATCTAACCTCTGCCTACTTGTCAATCCCCAAAAGCGCTGGACACTCCAACCACAGTGAATCTGAGGCAGTCCTCAGCAGCGGCTGGCTTGCTTTTGTGTACACTATAGCCTTCTGGCCCCCACACTTGCCCCCAGTCCCCTGGCTAAATTGTGCTCCTTCTTCAAGATTCAGCTCGGTGGCTTCCTCCAGAAGGTCCTCACCATCAAGTTCTCACATCCTCTGTCACACCTTCATCACCCTATTCTGTTCACACATCTGTCTCCCCTCTATTCAGTGAGGACAGCCCTACCTCCACTTATTCCCTCTGGCTCATTCATTCTTACAGCGCATAACAAGTATGCACAAAATATTTAGTATATGAATAAAAGCATGAATACAGAGATTCAGAAAGTATCAAACTAGATTTTCTCCCTTTCAAACAGCCCTTCATGGATTCTTCCTCTGTCATCTTGGGTTGGTAATAATAAAAACTATACCACGCCAGACTCTATGTCAATCGTTTGACATATACGAACCTATTTAATCCTAGAGCAATTCCACTACTATTATCTCTATTTTCAATTGAGAAAAACTAAAGTATCAAAAAACCGACTCAGGCAGAAATCGGCACAACCATGGTATCAACCATGTCCAAACTACCGCATGTATTGCTTCTTGAGAGCACACTTAAGGAAAACACACCAAAATTACTATCAGCCCGAGCAAAAGATAATTTTGAAAAACTAAATTCCTAAGCAAACAAAAATCAGCTTTGGGGGGCTCGCCTCTTGCTTCTGGCTTGGTCCTCTCTCTGGCTCCTTCCATGAAACAGACAGCTCGCTGGAGGCGGGGCGTCCGCACCCACCAGGCCAGGCCCCAGCCCAGGTCCTCGAGACCCCTGCCCGGAAGGCCCCCCTCACCTTGTCACCGAGACCCTCGGCCTCCTCCGCCAGGAGGGAGCCGCCGTCGGGCAGCAGCAGGGCCGTGTCGGTGGTGGAGGAGGAGCGGGGGCGGCCCTGGTGCTGGTGCAGGATGGCGGCCAGGCCGCTGTCCTGGGGGGCCTTGCGCAGCAGGTGGGGGCTGCCGCGCTGCGGCTCCAGGGAGCTGCTCTTGGCGCGCCGGCTGCCGCCCCCGCCGCCGCCATGCAGGCTGGCGCCCCGCTTGATGGAGGGCCTCGCGCGGATCTGCTGCAGCACGCGGTTGAAGGCGGTGGGCCGGGCGGGCAGGTCGTGCAGGGACATGGCGTAGGACACGCGGTGCATCTCTGGGGAGCGCTCCTTCTCGTCCGGGGAGTCATGGTCAGACGTGCCCTGCTGCTGCTGCTGGGGGTCCTGAGACGACGGGTGCTCCCTTTCCCGCGACCTGCGGCGGCTGTGGAACAGGTGCTTCAGGCCGTGGCCAAACATGGAGCCCTCTGAGAGCTGCTGGATTTTCTGAAGGGGGAAGGATGAAGAATTCGGTGAGTGCAAAGCTCTCGCATGCCTAGCTGGTTGGGGGCAGAGGTAAGGGGTCTGTTCCTGGGACACTAGTGCAGCTCCTACAGCCACCTGAAACTGGAAGATCCCCGAGACCGGCTGCGGGGAGGGGGCAGCCCAGACCCATTCCTCTCCTTCCCAAATAAATGTGTCCCCATGGCTTCCCTCAGGACACTCCTAACCCGCACATGGTTCAGGGTTACTGGTCACGTATCCTTGTGGCTACAGTCTGGGGCTCAGTGGCACATGCTGGCAGCACGTGGCTCATAAGTTTTATCCCTCTGGACGGATTCTCCCTCCACCCCGAGACCTCCCTCCTTCTAAATCAGACCCTTCCTCAAGATCCTCTTTTGGCCCAAAAGATGCCTCATTGCAACACTCCTTGGGAAAATCAGGGTCATGCAATCAGATTATACTATGTAGCAGATATTGTTAATCACCTACCCAATATCTATTCTCCTTTCTTTCTCCCAAATTGCATGGCCTTACTGCACCACACTAAAAATTCTTGCTTCATCAGAGGCCCCGGCAGCCTGGGGTAGCTACATGACACAGTCTTGGCCAATGAAAAGCAAGAGGAGCTTTCCAGGGGAACTTCTGCTTTCCTAATAAAGGTAGTAGCCCTTCTTGCTTCTTCCTATCTGAAATGTGGAGGTAATGCCTGGATCATGCTTAACCAACAGCCATCTTGGTAAAGCCCCCAGGGAGATGCCTGGGAACCTGATGACCCTATGGAGTCACCAAACCTGGTGTGCATGCCTACCCTGGGATTCTTCATTCATGAAATAAGTCTATCTTTACCTATACAACTTTAGAATAATTTTCTCTTATTTATAGCCAATCTCATTTCTGACATAGCAATAAATTTTACTGAAGCTTCCAGGTTGACGAACACTTCCACATTGCCAGGAGGATAGCACACCCCAGTTCCAGGGCAACAGAAACTCCTGTACCCAAGACCCTTCCAAATGTCTTCACTGGAGGTTAGTTGCTCAGGGACTAACCTGTGCACTCAGGTTAGTTGCACCCATGAAGAGTGCCTCTTCATTTCACTGTTCATTTGTATCCTGCATAATAACCTGGTAAATGTAAAAAAGTACACAAACTATGTCTACGGGCATGCCTTGCAGTGCAGGCAGTAACGTGATGACTTCCTCGGCATACATGCCAGAACCAGCGTCCACAGCAGTGTCTTTCCACTCAGGCTGGAGCAAGCCAAGGGGGCGCTGGAGCCCGGTGCTGCCCTGGCCCCAGGCTCTCTTAGTCCTGCCCCTGAGATGCTCCACCTGCTCCCCAGGCAGAACTGCTCAGACAGGGGCAGCCTACCGCCCGGCCGGGGCGAGGCCGCTTGGGGTAACTCCAGACCACTGCTCCTGCATGGGGCCGGCTCACAGGGTGGAGCCAGCCCTCCGCAGAGAACTTCAGAGCCAGCGGGCGGAGGGCTGGGACTTGGAGGGCCAGTGTCACCCTTAACTCCTGAGAGGGGAACTCAGAACCAAGCGACCCGGGGCTCCGTGAGCTACAGCAGGTCTTCATCTGTAAGGAACGGCCTCAGGAGGCAGCCTGTCAGCTAAGAAACCTTCCAAAGGATTACAAGTACTGGATTTTCTTATTTTCTAGAAACAAACTTACAGAGGAGAAAACATGAACCATGCAGACACCAAGAGAAAACCATCTTCAGATCTGAATTAGCTGACCCTACTCTCACTGTAGGCTACCCACTCCAATATTCTTGGGCTTCCCTTGTGGCTCAGCTGGTAAAGAATCCGCCTGCAATGCAGACCCCAGTTTGATTGCTGGGTTGAGAAGATTCCCTGGAAGAGGGCATGGCAACCCACTCCAGTCTTCCTGCCTGGAGAACCCCCATGGACAGAGGAGCCTGGCGGGCTGCAGTCCATGTGGTCACAAGAGCTGGGCACAACACAGCGACTAAGGACAGCGCAGCAGTACCCTCACCGCCAATGACACCTCAGCGAGGTTTGCGCAGACAGCCGCACTTACATCTGATGTCAATAACTACGTACATACTGTGGATTTGTGTCAAAGTGAAGGGTTTTCATTTTTCACCCTGTTTGAGTAGTCTCACAATCCTCAAGTAGGTGGGGCCTTTATAACACCCATTTTACAGACCAGATAAGTTTTATCACCACAGCTCACTGTGAACTTACGGTTTACAGTTTTCAATATGCTCTTTCTCCTGCATTATCTCACTTGACTTTCCCAGAAACTAATAAAAGCAACAGCAGCAATATTTCCATTTTTAGGTGAGGAGATGAAGGTGACCACCACCACTTCTCAAGAATGTAACCCTGGGGCAGCCCTGGAGGTGCCGGGTCTCCCCACGGAGCAACGTCTCCAGGGCTAGCCCCAGGTGGAGTCTGCTCAGGTAAAACCATCACTTTCAAGGAAGGCAGACTGAGGTGTGCACTCCGCCAGATCCTGTGGCCTCTGGACCAGAGACAGGCTGGGACACCCTCCCCATCCTTGGGCCCAGGCTGATACCAGACCTTCCTGCAGACATCACGGATCGGGCCAGCTGGCTCTGGCACTTGCCCAGCAACTTCTGCCAAGTGGTCACATTACATATTACAAACGGTCTTTCTAGCATTCTACTCCAGGCCTCTTCCTTCCGTCCCTGGCACTCCCAGCCTAGCTTCTCCAACACTGAGGCCCCTCTTCCACATCGGTTCAGATACAGACTTCTGCCAAAGACGGCACTAGAGTTCTGAGGCATCTCCCCTCCCTGAGCCCCGGGAGGTCGGGCTAGGCACTGGGGACAGCAGTCACCACTGTCTGCCATATTGCTCTGCATCCAAAATAGCTCAGTCAGATTATTTTAAACATCATACGACAGCATTTTTCAAGGTGCTTTCCGATGTATGCTGTCCTTCTAGCCTGACACAAGCATAAGCCCAGGAGGCGGGATGTGTCTCCATTTTACAGATGAAGAAACGTAAGCAGAGCCCAGCTAAGGGGCTCATTCCATTCCCGGAGAAGAGTGTCCAACTTCTACTCAAATGTGCCACCACTGGCTCACACGCCGATTCCGAGAGTAAAGCAGACACAGTATTTACACAGGTCCCAGAAGAGAATCGGCATCACTGACTCAATGGACACGAGTTTGAGCAAGATTGGGAGACAGTGAAGGACAGGGAAGCCTGGTGTGCTGCAGTTCACGGGGTCTCAAAGAGTTGGACGTGACTTAGCTGCTGAGCAACAACAATGGAACAGTATCACAGGCAGGATCAAAACAGAATAAAATGCCGGAGCCACGGGGAGCTCGGTCCCCTGAACTGCGGCGGTGGATCTTCTCGCATCATGTTGTAGGACGTGGGCAAGACCTGTACCCAGTGTAGGTCTTCCTTTCCCACCTTGCCCTCCGTTCTGCAGGTCAAGGAGAGCCGGGGTGACCTAAGGACCTGTGCCCCTGCGGCATGGAGGAGTCTGCTAAAGTCCATGGTGGGGAAGAAGAAAAAGAGCAAAACAAAGAAGACAAAGAATAATGCGGGGAGGGAGGTGGCTCCGTACAAAGGGGTTGTTTTCCTCACAAAGTGCAAGGCAAGAAAGCAGAGTGATACCATGGCCTGAGCTGCTTCTGCATGTGGGTGTCAGAGAGGAGATGGTTAAGGAGTTTTGACGTAACATGGTAAGTATTTAAAAAAACAAAACAGAAAACCCAGCACACACACATAACCAGCCACAAGTTTTGGAAATGAGGAAAACCATGGTGACTAGCTCGAGGGAACTCAGCCACCAACGCAGCAGAGAGAACCACCTGCTCTGACTAACAGGTTCCAGCTACTAAATGTCACTTGCTTCTCCACACTGACTCCTGCTTTCCCCCAGCTGCCAGGAGCCATTTTGGTGGCTGAACGCAGCCATGTATTTATCAGGAGAGGAGAGCTGAGTTGCTTCGGAGTGAGAGGTGGGACACAAACAGCTCTCCCGATCCACGAGAATGAGCACAAACTGTCCTGCAACTGCCCAGAGGCCAGAAGGGAGGCAGAGCAGCCTGGGGCCAGGTGCCCAGGCCTGCAGAGGGAAATGAGGGGCATCTGCTGCCCTCCCCGAATCATCTTTAAGGGCAGGAAGGGCCCCGCCTCCTTGGGGTGCCATCATCCTCTCAGGAAGAAAGGGTGGACTAAATGATTTCCGAAAGATCCTTCCTGAGAAGGCTGTGGTCTCTGAACAGTTAGGCTTCATCCGTTCTCCTCCCTGGGTGTGGGTCCCCAAAAGGGGAAGTCTGCTCCAAAAGCTGCAAACACAGCTGCCTGAGATCAAGCAAAATGCTTTGGGGTGCAGTGACTTTGGTACCATCTGGTTAAAAATAGCCAAAAGCGGCTTCTAATTCTTCCAAGTCCCTGCGTTCTTAACAACTCCCATTAATGCTGAAAGGATCTTTAAAAGTGATGCTAACCTATAGCTAATTATCCCACCTGGCAGCTGACTGCATCTCCCCTCCTCCCATCTGGGTTTGAAATGCCCTCTGCCCCACCACTGCTTCGGCGGGGAGGGTTCAGTGGGGCGACTGGGTCACTGTGAGCCTCAGCAAGCCTAGGTCGCCAACGTTCCTCTATTTATAGGGTCTCTATGGAAACAGGGCCAGCATTAAAGAGCTAATCACTGTAAAAACCTACAGAGTCCTACTCTCGAGATAAAAAGTAGATTGCAGAAGTCTCCAATTGCCCTTAAGAAGCCTTGGGTGGGGAGCCTGTGGCTGGAGCAGGAGAGGAGCAGTCACCCCAGGTCTGGCACTCATGGCCATAGTGATGGAGAAGAGTGAGCGGCTGCCAACTGTCTCTCTTAAAAACACAGTGATGAAAGACTTTCGGAATCATTTTTTTTCTTCCCCAGCAACCCAGCTGACATTAAAAAAAAAAGAAAACGGATTTCAACTTAGGGGCAAATGATTTCCCCATTCTCAATTTTATTTAAACTTCTCATTCCTTTATTGCTCA